CCAAGGCAGGTAATCAGTTTTTGCTGCCTGTGATGTGTGTATCGACCCGTTTCCCTGAGGCTATCCCTTTGCGTAAAATCACTGCACCCACCATCATTAAAGCACTGACCAAGTTTTTTACCACCTTTGGGTTGCCGAAGGTTGTGCAGACTGATCAGGGAACTAACTTCCTTTCCAAGATTTTTACACAAACCTTGCAGTCATTGGGTGTTTCCCATTCAGTATCTAGTGCCTACCATCCAGAATCACAAGGGGCACTTGAGCGTTGGCATCAGACATTGAAGTCGATGCTTGGTAAATACTGCCATGACACAGGCAGGGACTGGGATGAGGGTGTTCCCTTCGTGTTATTTGCTATTCGTGATGCAAAGCAGGAGTCTATTGGGTTTAGCCCAGCTGAACTAGTGTTTGGGCACAATGTGCGTGGCCCATTAAAGATGCTGAAGGATAAATTGATGTCTGAGTCCCTTCCGAAAACTGATGTGAAGAAGTTTGTGTCCCAGTGTCGTGAGCGTTTACAACAGGCGACTAAGCTAGCAAGGGAAGCTCTTGCATCCTCGCAGGAAAACATGAAGAACAGGTACGATAGGAGAGCGATAGGAGAGCAGTTAAGCGGCAGTTTCAGCCTGGTGAGCAGGTGCTGGTGTTGCTGCCTACACCCGGATCTGCTCTCAACGCGCGTTTCTCAGGTCCGTATGTGGTTGTAAGGCAAGTGTCTGACACCAACTATATCATTGACACACCTGAGCGTAGGAGAAAAACAAGGTTGTGCCATGTTAACATGCTTAAGTCCTATCATGCTAGGGAAGCCTCCCAGGGGAAGCAGCAACGCACTGTGGTGACTGCTGTTCCCAGCGTGGCCACTTCCCTAGCCTGTGCATTGTCGATGGTTGAGGGTGATTTGATAGTGCCCTCTTGTGGTCAGCAGTGTGGTAGGTTATCGAACTCTGAGTTTATGTTGAGCTTAGAGTCTAACCTGGCGTATCTTCCAGAAAGACAGCGAAGCGACGTAGTCGGCTTGTTTCATGCTCACCCGACCCTATTTGGTGATGTGCCATCGAGCACTAATGTTTTAAAGCATGACATTGATGTTGGAAATGCTCATCCAGTTAAGCAACATGCGTATCATTGTCACATAGAGAAAAGGGAGCGGATAATGTGGTGGCCGATGTACTGTCCCGTGGGTGAGATTTCAAGATTCATGTCCAATAGTCTGAGTGTTTTTGGTAACTGTGGCCAAACACTCGTTGGGTTTTATGGGGGGGGGGGTGTGTGTGTCTTTCTCTCTCTCCCTCTGTTTCTCCAGGTGCAGCCTGATTGTCTTCAGGTGCAGCCTCTCTCCCAGGTGCTCCCAATCCCCAATCAGGGCCTTCCTTAAAGGACCTGAGGAAGTCTGCAGTGGCCTCTCCCTTTCTCCTCTGGCTGCACGGGTGCAGCACGGCGTCTTGGGTCTCTGTGTGGGACCTGTTTGTCTATTATTGTTGGATTAAATCTCATGTTGTGAAAAAAGAGATCAGTTTCCTCTTTTTTCTCGTGCTGGTCGTTCTGTGTTTTGTTACTCCCCTTCGTACCCCTAGATTTTGGAGGGAACGTAACAGTGATTGACAGAATAATGATCAGCCAACACTGCAAATCCCACACACAGGAAAAAGCAAAAGGTTACATTTCTCCAGACCTCCGATCCTATTGGCTTTCAGTCTGACATCATAGTTATTATTTCATCTCTTTGAAAATCACTTAGTATTCCACTGCTATTAACCTTTGGAGAAAAACTACAGGCTGTTTTTGGAACTGGTCAATTCTGAGAGTTCAGTTTTTTGTGCTTCCATAACGTATTCGTTCAGAAAAAAAGAAAACATCCAGACAAAGACTTAGTTTATTTGCCTCTGTAGTTATCTCCTAAATTCCCTCAAAGTTAGCATCAGAAAATACACTTTTAGGAAACTTGCAGCAAGAAAAAAAGGGTTAATGTAAGTTATCAATCGGAAAAGTTTGAGTGTGGTATCTATACATTTATATATTATACTTACTTCAAGTGTCTTGCAAAACTTAGGTTATTTAACAATACATATCTTTAAATGCTGTTTTAGTCCAGCTTTATCCAAAAAGACAATGCCCAAATTGCATATGTAAACATCTAATTCATAAGAAAGGGTTTGTACCAGAGCAAAGGCAGTGTGACCACAAATGCCTGAATGCTGAAATTGAACATGCTTGCAGTATTGAATCATTCGCGTGGTGTGATGGCATTTGTCCATAAAAAAAGAAAAAAAAGAAACAAAGGTAACGCATGGAGGTTGGTTTGCTAAATTGTAATATATTGAAGATTGAGATGATAACCTGTCCAGAATCGCTTCAGATTCTTCACAACAGCAACACAGGTGTATTTAATAACGTTAATCAAGGCTGCATTCCATTTAGAGTTGTATGTTTCTGGAGTCTCGTTTCATCGTTATTGGTATTAATTACACCTGTGCTTTTCCTGCATAGTCAAAAGAGAATGTCGGCTGTGAAAAAGGTCTAGACTAGGAATTGATTGAACACACACGATGAAGAAACATGTAGTGATATATTTATAATAGGAGTCGGAGTCATACAGTATTATCTCCTGTTCTGTTGGTCTGTGAGTTTGGATAATGGTTAGTCTTTTAGTCTGTCTGTTTTACTCTCTCCGTCTGTTTTCTTGCTATCCCTGTCTGTCTCACATAAATTACCAACAATAGTGAATCGGCCCACAGTTTATTCAACTTGTTGACATACTCAGTGTTATCACATGAGCCAGCAATCCAGTCCAGCAGCAGACAAAACCCAAGGTCCTTCTGTTGTGGTATTCACATAGGAACACAAATCATCAACTGTGGTTTCTGTTTCAATTAGATATTTTATCAAATTTTTTAAAATTATACTTTAAGCAACTTGACTTAAAAAAGAATCGACCCTGAACCAAAGAGTGTATAAAGAAGTGGAAGTAGTCTCCATAGAGTCATTCATTCACTATCTTTTTTTAGAACCAGAACAAATAGGGTGGCGAACAGAAAAGTCAATGCCTTCTGGAAAGATCTTACTGGTTTTTGGAGGAATTTACTCAAGACAAGATTCAGCACATCACTGCAGAGACAGAGAGACACGAGACGAGAGGGAAGGGACAACAGAGGGAGGGGAAGGAAGGAAAGGTAAGAGTGGAGGAGGAATGAGAGGAGGAGGGAGAAAAGAGGAATTCCTGCATGTCGAGACTGGTAGCAGCTGCAGTGCTCGACACTTCATAAAGTTGCGCCCGCTGATAACGCGTGTTTGGAGAATGATTTATCAGTAATCACCATTTGAGCACAAATACCTAACCTTGCCTTGGTGTTAGTGATTTTATTTTATTATCTCAAAACAAAATGCATTAAATTGCTTGGTGTAGAGTGAGCTTTTGTGTACAATATGTAGGTAATACATTTTTGATTTTGCACAAGTAATGTTTTATTATTTTGCAACTAAACAGTTTATTTAATTAGTCACTACATTGGCAGCTTGTATGACTTAAGTGTGTTACACACTTGAGCTGAACATCCTGTGAGTCAACAGTATTTAGCAATACAGTTCATAAAGAGGCAGATGGGTAGGGCAGGTCTGAGTGACAAGAAAACGTGATTCAATGAAACATTGATAAAATAAATGTTAACAATAAAGTTACTGTGTGTTTAATGAATAAAATAACACAAACGACTTGCATTAAGCAGCTCGTTCAGAACAAAAATAAGTGGGTGAATACAAAATATAAATACTTTTGCTAACCGTTGGTGTTCTCGAAAGAAACGTTTTCACGTAGTGTCCCTAATGACAGCTATAGTTACTTGGAAAGAAGCTAAATGGGGCACTGAATTTGACTGAATTACTGTTTAACAGAACAGAAATTAGACATGAGTTAAAGGTAGGGTAGGTAAGTTTGAGAAACCGGCACGAGATACACTTTTTGTTATATTCCATGGAATGCTCTTAACATCCCGATAGCAATGAATATCTTAAGTGCTTTGACAAAAAATCCATAACAATTTTTAATCTGTGGAAGCCGTAGTACTGTAAAAAGCACGACCAATCATTTTAGCCGGCCCGGCTAAAATAACTGGATGGCCTACCTGCCTGTCAGCCTTCCATCTGTGCACAAACTTATCTCGTGCCCTCATTGGTCATGTGCGCGTTTGTGTGTGTTGGAGGAGGGGCTCTGTAAGGAAGTGGCAGATTTTTTCCGGTTGTGTATTTTCAAATTACAGCGCACTCGAGCTGGTTTCTCCAAAATGGCCTACCCCACATTTAACTAGCTAGCACACTCTAAATGCTAGAAAGCATCTTCGGCAGTAAGAGAGCAGTTGGCTGCTCCGCCAACGGACCTTCAGTTAGCGGGAATAGCAACTTGAATTTAGCTAGCTAATACAAGTGTTTATTGTACCGTTATGAACAACACAAATAAACTACACAAATAATAAAACTCCCATAGCTTTTTTGGTTGAAGCTTTATTGTTCCCCCTTTTTTCTTAAATTAAAAACAATATCCTGTTTTCCTTAGCACTTGAGTAAAGAAATATTACTTACGGCTTACTGCAGATGGGAAAGCTTTTTTTATTCAGTACAAAATGTTGTTATAAATAAAATTAGGGATAGGCTACATTTCTCAGTGAAATATTTATACAATAATATTAACAATACTTAATTAACTTAATTTTTAATTGTATCTGTAAAGGGAAACGTGTCCACTTTTGAAGTTGCACTTTCTAACTAATAACGATGGTTGTACACCTAGCCATTTAGCTAATTGAGCTATCAGTGAGTGTTTGCTTTCAATTGGTATGAACATAAAGAAAAACTGTTTCACCATTTTTTGTTTCCTTTTTATTATAATCAGTCTTTTGTTCAGTTAAAACAAACGCTAAGCATGTTACCCACTGTAAGACACTGTATTAAATCTGCACTGTCTATGTTTTCTTGCTAAGTGGTCGGACATGACAGCAGGAAGGAGATGAGGGTGTGTTCGTAGGCAAGGGGCGGCGCGGAGGGGCGGAGCGGTTCTCTCTACCGGGCGGTGTCAGCTGAAGAAAACGGGACAGAGGAGCAGAGAGAGGCCAACACAGGGATTCATTTACCCGGGTGATTGTACTGAATTGGACCAGCGGACTTCAGGTAAGAGAGAAGCAGCGTTTAGGGCGTTTTCTCATGACTCAGGGGGAAGTCTTGTGTTAGCTTAACTCAGGAGCAGAACAATGATTTATAACTCACTGCGGCACAGCGTGTCTTCTTTTATTCAGAAAATTATATTTCAGAATATTGAATAAAAAGATGCTCACAGTAAAGCAGTATTTCTGAGTTATTTACCATAGGACAAAAGCTAATTTGAACATTCTAAATGCTATTTTCTTCACACACAATAGTTCCATTGAATGCTGAATAAATGTTAGTCTCGTGTGCAAATGCATTTGTGCATGTTTTATTTATTTTCTTATTACCATTTTATGAATGTATATCAATATTTGATGAATACTATTTGGCATATTTAAAATATGCACTAAGATAACATGAAGAAGCTCATGCAGCTAGGCTAATGTGCTTTATTGTAACTATATTAGACCAAGTGAAAACAAGGATTTACCTGCAGTTAGTGCTTACAGATTATTGTTTAAAATACCACATGATCACTTAAGTTTGAATATCACGCTTTACGGTTGTTTCCAAACATCTGAAGGTTGCAGTTAATACAAATGAATAACAATAGAGTGTTAGCGGCAGACAGCAGCAGACATGTGTCTGGATGCATGGAGATATGAACTGCATCGTCACTCATAGACAGTGTGTGTGTGTGTGTGTGTGTGTGTGTGTGTGTGTGTGTGTGTGTGTGTGTGTGTGTGTGTGTGTGTGTGTGTGTGTGTGTGTGTGTGTGTGTTGTGTGGTGTGTGTGTGTGTGTGTGTGTGTGTGTGTGTGTGTGTGTGTGTGTGTGTGTGTGTGTGTGTGTGTGTGTGTGTGTGTGTGTGTGTGTGTGTGTGTGTGTGTGTGTGTGAGGATCCATCAGGATTCCTGTAGGTTAAACACACTCCTTCAGTCATGCATCCTCAGAATCCACATCTGGAGACAATGCAGTGTCATGATTGGCTTTTAACTAGGAATTGATGACTGATTTAGTTTGAAATGTGGTTCTATGTACGTTTGATAGGACAGAGAATACTTTATTTGTTAACTTTATTAGCTCCCATTTTCACATCAATACAGATATCTTTTCAGTATTTCCTAAACATGCTCATATTATTTTATTGAACACATTTGGCGTGATTTTATGATTAATTTTGGCACAAACCCACCTTTTATACCTCTACTTACATTTTTTTACCCATAGAACATTGGACAACCCTTAAAACCAATGTCTGTTCTTCCTCAAGTAGGGACATCTGGTGGCAGTAACAATGTATTTTTTCTGTAATCCAATTATTTAACACTCAAAAAGATCAGATTGTATTAATTGCAAAAACACCTAACAATCTTTAAAGATGATAAACCTAATTTGAGTTCATTGGATTTTGTATGTACTGGAAATATATTCAAAAAGCCTCACACTGTGCTCCATTTTTTCTTTTGGAAAAATCATGGAAATGTAACTAAAGTTGCATCAAATATAATTAATATTTTATCTAATCGCCGAAATAGTAATACTATAATGATAATAAATACTGTATCGTATAGTAATGAAACGTAAAATGGCATTTAACTGACGAGGTATTTTGCTGGTGAGAGATTTTAGTTGCTTTAGCTGTAGAAGCTAAGTATGTTTTAGATAGGCACAACATGTTTCATATGCAGACCTTATTTTCCTGTTCCATGTTCAAATAAACCATTTTCAGTGGTACCGCTGAGAAAGAGTAATTGTTTTGGTCATGGAAAATTTGGTAAAGGTCATGGAGAAGTCATGGAAAAGTCATTGAAAATCATTAGTGAAAAAGTGTATGAACCCTGTTGTGTAAACAGGAATGTTTTGCATTTAAGAGAATACCTTTCCAGTCATTATTCAAAAACCTCTGCAATATAACTGACATTAAGCCACGTATAATCGGACCACCAGTGTTATATTATACCATAATAGCCTCAAACAGACATTGTTTTTAGAGACATTAGTGACCGATGCCTGTATCTGTGCGTGTGACTGCCTGACTAAGCAAACACTATATTTGCATGTTTGTGCTGAGGAATAGCCTTATTTGTTTATTTGCCAGCGATGTAATCCGAGCATGGCACGTGAGCTTTTTTAGGACACCCAGAGAGGGACCTTGATTGAACTTAAAGTAAAAAGGTGATTTAGAAACTTTCAGAAGCAACCATTTAAGAGGAATTTCTGGCTAATATTGCTTAAAATGTACAGCTGTAAGACTAATACAAGAGAGGAAACAAAACATTGATCTCTCTTAGTTAGATTTGGATTCATCATCAAATCTTTTAATTGATGGGAAGATATAACTATATTAGATGATCAAGTCTGTTCTATATGATTTTTGACGTTAGATGCCTTCATATTTGCCCACTTTGGCTTCTTATGCTCGTATTGATTCTCTGTGGAGGTAATTCATCAAGTTGCCATCTAGTCTATTCTCAGGCAGTTATAGGGCTCTGCTCTCTGCAGCAGAAAGCTCTCCCTCTGATTGAATCATACACAGACAAATCTCACTTGGCTGATATTTTCTATAATATTACATGATGTACTGTGTGATACATTTAGCTGCCATGCTACTTTAGAGCCCCATTTTTGTATTCAAAAAACGTCATCCTAGCCTAAGATCTAATATTGATCTGTTTCTAAAGGGTTTTGCATGCTAACATGTATATATTCAGCTAATTAAATTCATTAGCATATTTGGGAATATTTAAGGGTCAGTTATCTACAGAACACTTCCAATAATCTTTAATGAGATAGAAATGAGGTGAACCAAAGTACAGACAGAGATAGGCAGTTGGTGTTAATACTTTGGTGGAAACTGTTCCCAGTGAGGTCTGTGGATTACCTGACTACCCAGATCTTTTTCTAGAAAACACACATTGCTCTTGATGTTTTCCCCAGCCAGGGGTAGTGGTACCCCAGGGGGTCTTCTGCAGTTTCCTGGCGGTACAATGGCATTTGGGAGTATCTCATATACATTGTAACCATACAAATAAATAGTAAGTGTCTGTACGATTGGCAACTGAGCAGAATAGTTGAAAACATAAGCAAATAACAATTAAATGGTTCTATTAGCTAAAAAAATAATAGAAAATTAGTTAAATAATCCAATCGCTATAAAGAAACAGCTAGCTATATGCCAATGTATAAAATGGATAAAACTAACTGCTAAATGGCCAATATAGATAAAAGCAATGAATAATTGAATTTTATAATTAGATAGCTAAAAAGAAACAGGTGTCTAGATGGCAGAAATTGATAGTTAAACTTAATGGCTCAATGGCTAAAATAGCTATTTTGGTAATGGCTAAACGGTTTAAATTACAAATGTTGAATAAATGGTTTACTAATAAGATAGATAAAAACAGCTAGCCTAGATAGCAGAAATCCTTTTCCAAGATCAATAAAAAAATGTAATGGTTTGGTTGGTAATATCTAAATACTGATACTGGTATACTGCTGTTACCTCATATGTAAGTAGCCATCTACATAAGCTAAATTACAAACTTCTTCACCCCCCATTACAGACTAATATAACCCTGAAGCCATCTACATACATCGATAAGTACTTATAAGGGTCTCTAAGCTGATGTAACCGTTTTGCTAAATGTCTTTTTTTGTTTAATAGATCAAACTTCCATTTATTTTGCGTAAGTCAAAATAGCTATACTTCAGGCTGATTAAAGCATGTAATGGTAAATAGATTAATTACAAAAATCTGCTTTAATATGTGTGTTATGTTCAATGAGTTCAAATTATAATGAGTTCCAAATGTATTACAGAACATAACTTCAGCTGCCGTGTCGTTTTATAGGTGTCAGCATGTCAGGAAAAGTCAGCGCTGAGGAGATGGAGGAGATCAAGGAGGGCTTCCAGAAAGTGGGTGAGTAAAAATGTGTGTGGGTATATTGTAGACACCCAGTACATAAAGATGAATTGGTCAGTAATGTTTGAAGTAGAGTAAAGCACCTGACAAACACATGTTCATATACATTGTTGGTGCACCATCTGATGGACAGATGTTTGGCCTACCTGCCTGTCAGCCTTCCATCTGTGCACAAACTTATCTCGTGCCCTCATTGGTCATGTGCGCGTCCGTGTGTGTTGGAGGAGGGGCTCTATAAGGAAGTGGCAGATTTTCTCCAGTTGTGTATTTTCAAATTCTGGCGATCTCGAGCTGGTTTCTCAAACTTACCTACCCCACCTTTAATGTAATAGTTTAATATTTTGGAAAGTATGTTTTGGGGTTTTCTTGCTGAGAATTAGATTAGAAGATTAATACAACTCTTGTATCTGTTTATGCTAAAATTAGTAATTGACTTAGCTTAGGATAAACACTGGACACAGCTAGCTTAGCTTTGTTCTAAGGTAACAAAAAAAGCCTTAAAATGCGAATTAGATTTGATTACCTTTGTTTATGTACAGTTTAACAAGTGATATAACATTTGCTAACCTATGAGTGTAAAGGGTGCTGGTAAGCTAATTAGGTTTCCTTATGCTAAGCTAAGTTAACTGTCTGCTGTATTTAGCCTCCTATTTAAAGGTGGGGTATGTAATTCACTTCAGAAACACTTTTTGTTATATTCCATGGAATGCTCTTAACATCCCGATAGCAATGAATAAATGAAATGCTTTGACAATAAATATATACAAATATTTCATCTGTGGAAGCCGTGGCGCTGTAAAAAGCAAGTCCAATTATCTGCCTCGGCCCGGCTAAAATAACTGGATGACCTACCTGCCTGTCAGCCTTCCATCTCGTGCACAAACTTATCTCGTGCCCTCATTGGTCATGTGCGCGTTCGTGTGTGTTGGAGGAGGGGCTCTGTAAGGAAGTCTGAAGGAAGGGGCAGATTTTTTTTGGTTGTGTACTTTCAAATTCTAGCTTACTCGAGCTGGTTTCTCCATTCTTACCTACCCTACCTTTAAGTCTTTATGTGTTGAGTAGTAGTTATTGTAAGCTAACTAGTCAGTAAACTGGGTATTTGTGTGTAAAGTATTTGCCATACGGAAGCCCTGAGAGGCAAATAGCAATAACTATTCTGGTGATTCTTTTTTTTTTAAAGTCTGATCTCAATTGATTTCTCTCCTGTGTTTATGACTCAAGTACAAAAACTAGGCTGAACCACTTCCTAGTATTTGACTCAAAGCGTTCATGTTTTGTAAGTTGGCAAGTTATGTTACATTTCTGTCATTTCTATTGGCTAAACATGTATTTTCAACCTATTAATATATATTTGCCTTGTTCCTTCATAGCTACCAATTTCATCGATAAAAAAAAAAATCTGCATCTGGAAACAGGAGAGGAAACAATTTACATCAAACTTAGAAAACGGATCACCATGATTATTTTTTTGTCATTCGCCTCTAAGGCTTCTGTAAATCCTCCAGTGTAAACAAGTGTGAACACATGTCAATTTGAACAGAAGAAAGGCAAACATGCAATCCAGTCCAGTCATTGTGTTTAGATTAGCAAATGTAGACATTTTCAATACAAAACAGATACTATATCCTGATGGGCTCCAACTAAAATATCACAATTTTCCATTCCTTCTAGATGTGGATGGTAATGGGTACATCTGCGCCTCCGAGCTTGGGGAACTCTTCCGGGAGGTGGGCTGCTCTCTGCCTGGATACCAGATCAGAGAACTACTTCAGAAGCTCGACCGAGACAACGACAGCCGCATCAACCTCGAAGAGTTCACGGCTGTAGGTAACACTAACTAACTAACTAACCGACCGACCGACCGACCGAACGAACGAACGAACGAACGAATGACCAACCAACTGATTAACTAATAAATAAAGGTTTGACTGAATAAAGTCACTTCTTGATGGCCGTTAGGTGAATAAAAAAAAGCTAGCTTGGGGGATGGGGTCAATATTTTCATAAAAAACTAGAAATGTCCAAGATTAAAGTTGTACATTTATGATAATAAAGCTGGGATTTTCTCTCAAATAAAAATGATAAATTTGCGAGAAATACCTCACAAATACACAAGGCATAAACACAGACATTCTCTGAGATTAAATTGAATACATATTGAAAAGATAGCTAAAAACAGCTGCTAGATGGCTGAAAAAACATTCGTAAACACAATAAAAATGTATTAATATAATGCAAAAATGTTTTAAATTGTTATCTTAAACTTAAAGGGGACCTATCATGCAAAATGCACTTTTTGATGTCTTTTATACATAAATATGTGTCCCCGGTGTGTCAGGGAACTCACGCAGCGTCAGAAAATAAAACCCTCTCTCTTTTCCTCTGTACCCAAATCTCTAAAAACGGGGCTACAACGGAGCTGATCCAGATTTGTGTCCGATATGACGTAATATCGGAAATGTAGGCTGGCTTTACACTCACGGCCCTATCAGAAACGTTGCTATCAGAAACAATGCCCGACTGTTTTGGACGTAATATGGTCGGTGCATATTCACATTAGCATCGCTAACACTCAGAGCTAACCTGTACTGCACAGAGCATGTGTGTGAAGAAGCAGGAAATAAAAAGGAACTCACCTTGTGGTATAACCGTCAAGAGAGAAAGCCTTTGAGCTCCATAATGTTTCAGAAATATAATCCTTGATAATCCATGATATGGCGTTTCATCACCGCAGTATCTGCCGGTAGAATCTCCCGCATGAGCTCAGCTAATTTTTTTTTTTTTTAAAGCTTTATACCCCAAATCAGCACTTTTGAAAAAGGAAGTGAAATAGAGGGATATGAGGCATGGCTAGAATGGGTGATCTGTTTGGTATTTTGAGCAAAACACTTCATTGACATGTTTTTTATATATTTTTATATATCCGAGACCTATGCTATTGCCTAAAAATAGCATGATAGGTCCACTTTAAGGATATATGGTTACACTTTTAACTGTAGTTCTAGTTCAATTGAAGGGAAAATTATTTTTACAATATCCACTTCAGTTATCTTTCATAAGATATCAAATATCTCCTTAGGTAAACGAAGTGTAAAATAAGACTTACATGAATCAGTCGTGCAAAAGCAGCCTGTTGAGTTGTGACAAGTTTGGCATGTGAAAAGTTGTCCACGGTTAACATGTTCCTAACTGCAATCGTTTACAAATAAAAGCTTCCTATCAAATTCCATAGTGAATACATGTTTGGTCCAAATCACTGCTAAAATTATTATTTATATTAAAATTATTATTATAGTATGTATTTTTTTCATTTTTATCACACTTGCATACTGTACATGGGTCATTTTTTACCCATGTATGTAAACCTGATGCAGAAATACAAAAACTGTTTTAGTTCCTAAATTAAGAAAGGGAGAATGAAAATAATGTTGTGTGGTGATCAAAAACAAGATATTAAAGGTGGGGTAGGTACGTTTGAGAAACCGGCTCGAGATACACTTTTTGTTATATTCCATGGAATGCTCTTAACATCCCGATAGCAATGAATATCTTAAGTGCTTTGACAAAAAATCCATAAAAAAATAAATGTCATCTGTGGAAGCTGTAGTACTGTAAAAAGCACGACCAATCATTTTAGCCGGCCCGGCTAAAATAACTGGATGGCCTACCTGCCTGTCAGCCTTCCATCTGTGCACAAACTTATCTCGTGCCCTCATTGGTCATGTGCGCGTTCGTGTGTGTTGGAGGAGGGGCTCTGTAAGGAAGTGGCAGATTTTTTCCGGCTGTGTATTTTCAAATTCTAGCGCACTCCAGCTGGTTTCTCCAAAATTACCTACCCCACCTTGAAATGAATACTTGGAATATTAAATGATTAAATAAATAGATTTTCAAAAATATAGCTAAGAAACACTCAGCCATGCAGGAAATAACATTGTAGGTCAATACGGGTAATTTGACAACCCATGTTGTCCCTTAGAAGGGTAGTGAAAAATGAAAGTAAGAAGTTGTGATGATCATAAACAAGTTAATTAAGGAATACCTGGAATTTTGAATTGTTAAAGTAATTTGTTGCAAAGATATTTACAATTAAAACTCACTCGGGTCACTTTTGACCCATGTTGTGTATCAAAGGGTTAAGAAGAAAAAAACACTGATTCGGATGAGGTGCATCAGAACTGAATCTTTAAAGTTGCTTGTTTTGAAAGCAACTGACAGAGTAACTCTCTTAATTAGTATCTCAAAAAATGTAACAACAATTAAATTGACTCAGTTGTGTTTGCTTGCAGATTTTTGGGGATTTGAAGGACGACCGCATGGCCATGGGTTTCAGGAAAGCTCTGAACAAGAAAGAAGGCATCCTGGCCATCGGGGGCACCAGCGAGATCTCTAGTGAAGGAACTCAGCACTCAATCTCTGGTTAGTAAAGCTACACTTAAACTAATAGAATGATATGTTAGTGTACACTGTCCAATATCATGACAGAAGGGATCTGACTCTTAACTGGACTGTATTTCAGAGCAGGAGCGCTACGCCTTCGCCAACTACATCAACTCTTCTCTGGCGGAGGATCCTGACTGTAACCACGTCCTGCCCATCGACCCCGAGACTGAAGCTCTGTTCAAAGCAGTGTCAGATGGCGTCATACTCTGGTAAACCTTAAGAAGTCCCTGCCCAAACCCTATCAATAACACTAACGCATATTGATCAATCACTTTCGTATTACTTGTTGTAAACCATCCTTTAAAAAAAGTGTATTCTTAATCCACGGGGCCTTGTCCGTTACCTTTACCCAGTTTTCAGCCTGATTTTGAGGCTTTGTACCAGACTATTATGCTCATATGTTTTTCTCTCATGTTGTTTTGCAGTAAACTCATCAACCTCTCTGTTGCTGACACCATTGATGAGAGAACCATCAACAAGAAGAAACTCACAGCTTTCACCACACAGGTTAGTTAGTTAGTTAGTTAGTTAGTTAGTTAGTTAGTTGGTTGCTTAACTAGATTTTCCAATGCTTATGTTGTTTTTAGTGTGATTTAACTTCATTGCATGTATCTTTGAAAACTATTCAACTATCAAATGTGGGATACAGTAGCATATTGTGGCTGTTAAAAGATATAGAACAATGAAAGCAATTTTTAAATCATTTATTTAACGGTGATGCCACCTTTATGTCTAAAACTACATCACTGATTTTACATTACTTCCATGAATGTGACACATATTTTGGCGTCTGTCGTCCATCAGGAGAATCTGAACCTGGCTCTGAATTCCGCCTCGGCCATCGGCTGCCAAGTAGTGAACATCGGAGCTCAGGATCTGAAGGAGGGGAAACCTCACCTGGTGCTCGGACTGCTCTGGCAGATTATCAAGATCGGACTGTTCGCTGATATAGAGCTGAGCCGCAACGAAGGTGTGTACAAACTAGGGATGTGCATCTCCATCACTGAGGCCGATACGATGCGCATCTCGATACGCTACCAACGATACGATACATTAACGATACCTTTGAAACACCAGGCGATGCGATACGATACGATTCACCCCTGTTGCGATACAGTTCGATACGATTTGATTCAACATTATGCGACACGGGGCGATACGATGTGATTCAACACGATGCAAAATAATGATACAATTCAATATGGTACGACAGAGGATTTTGTTTTATTCCTTATATGCAGCAAATCATACATTAACAAAAAAGTGCTTCACATATTTGCTTTTCTCTACTAGTACTGCACATCCCATCATGCCGTTTCTTTTTTACCTTAAAAAAAACAAACACTTGGACCTTTCACAAACTGGCCTTTTCACAAGTGTCGTAGTGTTCTCTGTCTCCAGAGTACAGTTCAATTTTATAACACCTCAGTTAAACAATTTAAGGATGCCCAGGATTAACAATGTGCAAATAACAACTACCATAGTGCAATGCCCATACAACTGCCAGCCTGATGTGCTTAACACTCATCCATAGGCTAACTCACCAGTGAGCAGAAAGCAGTGGTTTCTATAGGCACAATAAAGAAAAGAACCTTTCACAAACAGGTATTTCATAACTGCTTACAGTAAGGAAGACATTTAAACTATTACAGGCTGTTGTAAACTAAACACCACTCTCACTGACATAACACCTCACTGAGTGATTGAACTCATATGTCTAACTTTCAGGTTTTTCTTTTCAGCCGCAGACCCCATGTCGCCTCTATGTGCGTCGCTAAGTTCCTCGTGCTACTTGTGTACTTTAAAGCGACACGGCATCGTTTACAATTTGCGAGCGATTTTTCAATTTGTCCGTCTTTCTTGAAAAATCCAAAGTGTTGCCAAACGTTTGATTTGTAGGTATCTTTTGGTGCGCTGTGTTTCTCTTTCTCCTCGACTTCCATGTGTGTTGATAACTGAGACTCTCGGCCTCCGTAGTGGCGAAGCAAAGATCAAAGATCGTCTCTGCTGAGTGCTGACAAGATGAGGGGATATTATATGAATGAATCGTTTTTTTACCGATGCAAAGACGCTACAATCGATGCATCGCAAGTTCAACCCAAACTGGAGCCGATGTGCACTCTTTCAACCGGTGCACTCGCTCTTGAACGTTTATGCCGGTGCACCGATGCGAATCGGTGAATCTTAACATCCCTAGTACAAACACACACAGTCACACGAGCCTGTTGACACAAAGCTAAAAGTAATGTGCCAAAACAGAAAAACTGCAAATGACAAAATCAGTCAACATGAAACATTTGTGGCATTACATTCAAAACTTATAGCAAAGAGATGTTAATTATTGGCGTAGTGTTAACCAGACCCATGCTTGTTTTTCCGTGTGCAGCGATAGCGGCGCTGTTGGAGGAAGGGGAGAGTCTGGAGGACTTGATGAAGCTCAGTCCTGAGGAGCTGCTGCTGCGCTGGGCCAACTTCCACCTAAGGAAAGTCGGAATGTCCATATCCAACTTTTCCGGAGATATTAAGGTAAGGAAATGTCTGAACCTCTCACCAAGCCTGGTGCAGGAATGAGTCCTTAAAACCTGGACATTTGTTGGCACTTTAGCACTTCCGATTACCTTGTTTCAGAGTAAATAGGTTTGTTTGAGATGAGCTGCGGCTCGCCTCGAAAGTAGACGAGAATAGCCGATTGCAGCCGGGGGAGGTCTCAAAAAGCTTGCCTGAAGTCGGACAGCTCGGAGTCGGCTTGACTCGGTTTGCATTTATAAAGAATGCACAAGTGTGTTTAATCGTTAATGTCAGATATGTACTAAGTAAATACATTTGTTCCTGCTCAAGATTAGATTCAACTTTATTGTTATTGCACAGATTACAGGACCTCCCCCGGCTGCAATCGGCTATTCTCGTCTACTTTCGAGGCGAGCCGCAGCTCATCTCAAACAAGCCTAATTACTAACCATCATGCAACACACTAGCAAGACGGCGGTCGCAATTGCGCAGGTCTGGGTCGGTCTCGCTCATCTCAAACGAGCCTAATAGCTTTTTGACTGTGATTTTGGTTAGAGGCCTTAATTAAGATTTTCACGTTTTTAAATAAAATACGCCTGTCAATACATCACTTGTGTTTTTGAAGCTTTCACTTGTCCTAAAAAAGCAGGTAACAGGTGGTTAATTGAATCTACCGATGTTGTCACATTGACATTAAAGGACATCATGCCTAGAAGACATAAGCGTGTGAAATAATTGTACAAGTTGCCAGCTTATTCGTGGTGAAATTAAAGTAATTGGACCCTGGTGTAGTTCGGATTTTAGCTTTAAGCTTCTGCCGATTTAATCTCAGCTTCAAAAATCATCCTGCTGAAGAAAACAGTATCATAATCTTTTCTTTGAAAGCTTATTTTCTGCAATAATCAAAATTCCAATTGAGAAATCCTATTGTCTTTTGTTGAGGGAACCAGTGTGAAGCTAACTTCCTGGTAAGCCTACAAAAATATGCTATCTGCAGCGCGAAACCCCCACTGAAACTCTCAGGGTCTCACCTGTGTCAGACAGCTTGTTTCATAAGGCTGAGTGTTCATATCTTGTTTTTTTCTGCCATTGTCTTTGTCTTAAGAGTTTAGTTTTATGGACTAAATATCTTTAGTATTTTGTCTCATCTCACTGAGCGTCTATCTGTTTGTGTATCTGTTATTCAGGACTCCAAGGCGTACTTCCACCTGCTCGAGCAGATTGCTCCAGACGGCACCAAAGAGGACGTTCCACGGATTGAGATCGACATGAGTGGTGTTTATGTAAGTTGTTGAGCCATTCGTTTTATGTAATATGCCAGTTTTTATCTTAAAGAAGCAAAGTCTAATACTGTATGTATGTTAATTAATGTATCTTTTATATTTGATTTAGTCTTTAATTACTCAGACATTAGGAGAAACAAACATGCCACAGAAAGTGTTTTACAATGTTACGATGTCCAACCCTAACTCTAACTCAAATGGATGTCATGCATGCCAAATGCCAGTTTACCCAACCCAATATACATGTGTGTGTGTCTCCAGGAGAAGGACCTCAGTAAGAGAGCGGAGTGTATGCTGACACAGGCCGACCGCCTCGGCTGCAGACAGTTTGTGACGGCAACTGATGTCGTGAGCGGGAACTCAAAGCTCAACATGGCCTTCGTAGCCACGCTCTTCAACAAACACCCGGCTCTCACCAAACCAGAGAACCAGGACTGGAATCTGGAGGGTAAGCATGGACGATAATCTCCCTCGCACTGATACATTACTCACGTTCAATCCATGGAGGTGTAAAGAGAACTGGACTCAGCTTGGAGGCGGGGCATCGTTCATGCCTTTGAAGTTTCTCAGTGGCGCATGAAGCCAAAATGGCCTGACTTGAGAACATTAATCCTGATCATCCAGGGTTTTGGGCCCATAGTGCACCTCATTTTCGCTAAGCCCCGCCTCCAATCGCTTCATCACTAGGCTCAGTCAAATCAATGGAGAGGGAAAATAACTCTAGATTTTCATAATATTATATATATTTTAATAATTTATATAAATAAGGGCTGATAAGGGTTGATTAATAAAAAAATATATATATGCTAATTTACAGACATCTCTTTCCCAATTTAAGTCAATGGGAAAAGCCAAGCCCTAGTATTAGCCGAACCGTGGTACTACAACTTCCGTGATTTCGTTGGGCCTAAAAATACGTTTTGCCATTGACTTGCATTGGGAAAGAGACATCTGTAAATCAGTGCATAATTGATACTGCATATTGGAGGTGAGGTTTAAGCAAATCGCAAGTGCGCAAGCTCTATGGGCCCCGACACAGTTACTATTGCTCTCTTGATTCAGGCCATTTTGGCTTCATGCGCCACTGAGAAACTTTCTTAGGATTCACCAGGGTCCCGCCTCCAACACTGTATCTAGTTCTCTTTATACATCCATGGCTCCTTCATGAAGTAAATATAACTTCCTGTGCAGCCCTGAGTCTGAGTCTTATATCATCTCTGAAGGTGAGACCAGAGAGGAGAGAACCTTCAGGAACTGGATGAACTCTCTGGGAGTGAATCCTCATGTCCACCATATCTACGGGTCAGTACCCCTCTGTGTGAAAGGACTTTAGCTTTGTGTTGACTGTTCACTGTGTAAATGCATGCATGTGTGTTATAATGCAGGGATCTGATGGATGCCATGGTGATCCTCCAGCTTTATGAAAGGATTAAGGTGCCAGTGGACTGGGACAGAGTCAACTTGCCTCCATTCAAGGGAGTAGGAGGAGGACATTTAAAGAAGGTACATGTACATACTACCTTCAAACTCCTACTGAAGTTGACTAGGATACAATTAAATTAAGTATGAATGATTCATCCTCAAAAGTTATTATTAAAATGAATGTATCATACATGTTTACAGATATTGTATAACTTGTATGATTAGGGAAGTCTCGATTAAAAAAAGGTTGATATTAATAATATTGAAAATCCACAAATGTGCTTCAAACTAAAATCCTTTATTTTGTTTGCATACTATTTTTTCTTTTGTAGTTAAACAGTTGATTTCCTCTCTAATATCTATTTTATTTTGTTGAAAAATGTTCTCCTCTAAAGATTACAATTGTACACGTCATGATAATGTTTTAATTAACATTCACCCAGTATCAACTTTAACTGGAGAGAGCTTGAAGGCACCTTTACGTAACCTAATGAAACCTCTGTTCACCAGCTGCTAACAGCTAATGCTAACTTAATCACAATCAGGAAAAAGTCTGTCTTTCGAGTGCAATCCCAAAAATGGTATTTCTACCATCCCCGGGACAACATCTTATGCCTCACATTAGCTTTGAAAAAACAGTCCAGAATAGGTTCGAAGTTTCCGTCCTCTTGACTTCCCTTGTGAACCAACAATGTAAACAAGGGTTAGGGTCAATACATGAAAAACTATTCAGATCTAATTAAATATGGTTATGTTCCAATTACATATTATGGTTGGGACTGGGAGGTTCAAATGTCCTAAGTTACTCTAAAGTGTGTGTGTGTGTGTGTGTGTGTGTGTGTGTGTGTGTGTGTGTGTGTGTGTGTGTGTGTGTGTGTGTGTGTGTGTGTGGTGTGTGTGTGTGTTGTGTGTGTGTGTGTGTGTGTGTGTGTGTGTGTGTGTGTGTGTGTGTGTGTGTGTGTGTGTGTGTGTGGTGTGTGTGTGTGTGTGTGTGTGTGTGTGTGTGTGTGTGTGTGTGTGTGTGTGTGTAACAGAGGGAAAACTGTGCCTATGCTGTGGAGCTGGGAAAGACAAAGGCTGGTTTCTCTCTGGTGGGAATTGGAGGACAGGACCTGTACGATGGAAATCCAACTCTCACTCTGGCTCTGGTGTGGCAGCTGATGAGGAGGTGATTTCATCTCAACAGAGAAACTTCACTTTTTCACGTGCTTATTGACATTATTTTAGAAAATCACCAGAAACTAGAAAAAAAAACACTTTCAGACTCTGAAGATTTGAGTTGCTATACAGCCTGAAGCAGGTAGAGGGCGCTGAAAGGCTAAAGATCACTTCCAACATGTTAATTCCTTTTAGTGATGCCATAGAGAAAACAACCTCACTCAGAAATACTCCAGGGCAAAGCAAGAATAAATACTCCGCTTTGTGATAGAAAGCAATCAGGTTTATGGGAAATGTACTGTAGCATTGATTTTGTACGATTTCTTCATATAACTTATACAACGTACAGAATTGTTAGGTTACCAGCCTAAATGAGTTTCTCCTTCTACATCAGTTACAGCTAGATATTATCAAATGTTGTACTGTAATAAAGTCCCTAACTATTTCAGTAAATGATTTTACCCCAAGCTCCATACTTCACCAAAAGTATGATTTGATTTGATTGCTGATATTCTAACGTATGCTCTTATAATCCCTGCAGGTACACGTTAAATGTTCTGGAGGACCTGGGAGAAGGAGAAGTAGCGGGAGATGAGTTGATCATTTCATGGGTCAACAAGACGCTGGCTGAGGCCGGCAAGAGTTCCTCTATCAAAAGCTTTAGGGTCAGTTTTACTTTAATATCTACTGTAGCCCTTCTTAGGGTACATTTGGCTTATAATAAGTCCGAAGTAAACAATGAAGCTAGAACACATTCACAGACCCTTTAGCATTCTTTTCTATCACACTTTAGATCCAAAGTCCCGGCTTGAAAATTGTAAAATTATAGTTCAATTTTTTCCACCAGAGTAATCAGGTCTGTCACGTTTGCAATGCCTCTTTCTTTGGTTTCTACTAGTGTTAAGACTGTGAAAAAACATAGCTCTTTGTTTACCAAAAATAATGAAATTGTGCAGTTTTATTTTAAAGAAACAGTAGTGCTCTGTTAACAGCCTGGTTGTTTGTCATTATGTGGAGTATACAAGTGTGACCTGTGTGTGTGTGTGTGTGTGTGTGTGTGTGTGTGTGTGTGTGTGTGTGTGTGTGTGTGTGTGTGTGTGTGTGTGTGTGTGTGTGTGTGTGTGTGTGTGTGTGTGTGTGTGTGTGTGTGTGTGTGTGTGTGTGGTGTGTGTGTGTGTGTGTGTGTGTGTGTGTGTGTGTGTGTGTGTGTGTGTGTGTGTGTGTGTGTGTGTGTGTGTGTGTGTGTGTGTGTGGTGTGTGTGTGTGTGTGTGTGTGTGTGTGTGTGTGTGTGTGTGTGTGTGTGTGTGCGTGTGTGTGTGTGTGTGTGTGTGCGTGTGTGTGCGTGTGCAGGATAAATCCATCGGTACCAGCATGCCGGTTCTGGAACTGATCGATGCCATCCAGCCGTCCAGTGTGAACTTTGAACTGGTTCAAACAGGAACTCTGTCAGAGGAAGACCAACTCAACAACGCCAAGTAACCACCGCCTGCTTTCCTCTGACTGTGGCTGGGTTTAAGCTTCACATTAGATCTGTGAAAAAACCTTCAGCGTGCAGTGGGATATTATTTAGTGCTTACTGTGTATGGATAAAATAAAACATAGGCAAATATATATTTACCTGTGTTCAGGATTTTTGAAATAATCCAAATGAAAATATTTTAGCTTAAAGAAGTGATTATTAAATGATAGATCCAAAACACAGAAAAAAGGCTAGATTGAAACACAATTTCCCAGATATTTTCATTTTTATGTTGTTGTGTCTCATTTCCATTATATAAAGGTGATTAAAACATATATAATTATTGATGTGTATTCACAGATATAAAACCGATAATATCAAATATAAAAGATTGTATTTTGCGATTGGAACACTATCAAAAAGATGTTAACTATAAAGAGAAACAAACATTTAAAATAATAATATAAAATAAAAAATAAATGATGTATAGGAGAGAAACGAGTCAGAAGTCAGCATTCTTTTTATTTTTCAGTGGCTGTAACTTTGAAAACCCACAGTACATCTAACATGCATTTGCTGCAAATACAAGTAACAAGAAAATACAATGAATGTCACAGCTATAATTTGTTGCCATAGCGATCCTAAGTATGACCCTTTCCTGCATCAGGTATGCCGTTTCCATGGCGAGGAAGATTGGAGCTAAAGTGTACGCCCTGCCTGACGACCTGGTGGAGATCAACCAGAAAATGGTGATGACCATCTTCGCCTGCCTGATGGGGCGAGGCATGAAGAGGGCTTAAAGGACACACACGCACACGCGCACGCGCACACGCACACACACACACACACACACACACACACACACACACACACACACACACACACACACACACACACACACACACACACACACACACACACACACACACACACACACACACACACACACACAGAGACTTTTTGCCTGTGTGACTGGATTAGACATGAAGAGATGAGCTGTGTTGTTTAGTTTTTTTAAAGCGGTTATTCTGCATTAAGCCAAAATAGAAGTATCACTTTAGTCGTCTTTTCTGCATTCCGTTGTCAATAATCAATAATGACACCTGTGTATGTTGACACAAACAATAATGATCATGTTTGGGCTCCAAAGGACTTTCAATTTTCAAAATGGTTGCAGAATGTTGCAGAAAAGTGAGACTTCTATAACAGCTACCTGGTAAATAAATATGAGTTTTTTTTATGAATCTCAGTTTTGCTTTAACTGATTAGTAGTGCCACATTAAAGGAGTACTGCTCATAGTTATGAACATAAGTGTGAATGTGTTTGTCTAGACTGGGTCTGCCCAGTGCATTCTGGGAGGGACTCCTGCCCCGCTATGACCCTGTTGAGGGGTAATCCTGTCCATGAAATAAATGAATACATTAAGGTTTTTTTTGTTATGCAAAGGCAGTGTCACATGGGGATTTTAAGACAATAATCACTTAGACCTCGCAGCCCTGTACATTCTTTTATTTTTTTCTCCCATTACTGTTATTTCTTAAACTGTACTGACAGGACTAACATTTCCCCGGCTGCATTGACTTTAATCTCCCCATGTGTCACGCCTCATGATCGTCCTGCTGTATCTCCCAATGTGCCAGCCAAACCAATAAATGAGCATTAAATGAACCTAAGCCATAAAATGATATTCTTTACTGAATACCTTTTGGCCTTTTTTTTATACTCCCAAAGCTGTGCAGGATAATATGAAGTGCATGTTTTCACACTGGAAGATCTTTAACTCAGTATATTATGAAACAACAAATCCGGGGGTATTAAAATGTTTAAAAAAATGCACAAGAACCCTTAAAATTGCTTTAAAACACAACCCTAAAACACTTGATTTGATAATTAGTGAGAATTTATTTTCTAAATTGTGGACATTGCATTTCTAACTTGTCAAAGCTGCTACTGCTAAATATGAACTCAATACAACAGAAGACATTATAACAGAAGAGAGCAGCTACATTTCCATGAGCTGTTAAAACTGGTCCATGTTTAAAATGTCAGGGAACATGTGTTTGTTGCTGACAAATATTGTTGTCCTAATGTCGCGGGTGCATTTGTGGATATGTTAAAAAGTGATCCAGGTTTGATGCTGCTGATGTTCACATTCCACTTTTGTTCAGTTTTTTCTTGGACACATTTTCGATTGGCCCTCTGGAAAGCCACTGTTGGCAAAATTGTTGCTTCACATGATAGCAATACTTTTAATACTCGGTGTGTTTGAACAGATCGATTATGTTCAATAAAATAATTTTTCCATACATGTTTGTTCATTTTTGTCACTTTTTGTCTTGAGGGCGACTTGATAATTCAATATTAGAGTTATAATGGCCTGTAGATTTACTTCAAAGTATACCATCATTAAAAACTGTTTTTACAATTTGCAGATTAATCCAGAACTTCTCAATTAGAGAGAATGAGAATTGCCTCAGCCATTGTTTTTCAAGTTTTTTATTTTAAAGGGCCCATGTCATGGCCATTTCTACTGATCATAATTCCATTGTTGAGGTATACTAAAATAGATTTATATTGTGCAATTTCCAAACTCACATTGGTTTCTCATACAGCATCTCTGTATAGTATGTGTATTCACTCTCTGTCCTAAACGGCTTGTTGGAGCTCCTGCCCCCCCCTCCCTGTGAGCCCAGTGTGCTCTGATTGGTCGGGAAGTTGCGAGGCTTGTTGCTGCGATCTGCTGCGAGGAGCGGACAGGCTTCCGGGTCGGCGATACAACGAGAACAAGCGAAACTCATCCTGAGCACACACAAACACTCACAGCCGAAGTAAAAACAATAAGTGTGGCTTGATATTGAGTAAGAAAAAGGTTTATAACGCTGTGAGCATGGGTCTGCGGAGAGCATTTCTCATTTTCTCCAACTTAGCAGCCCGAAAAACGTTTACCCATTTAAACAGTCGTGATAGATACCTTGTTTGTTTTAAACATCATGAATACACAAACAACAATGAATACTTACAGGTTGTGTACCCGAATCTCCCGCTGGTCCAAACAAAGTAGGAACAGCATCGTTCTTCAGTGCCCTACGCTGTACATATCCGGCATGAATCGCTGAAAGGTTTGTGAAATGCTGGCAGGAGCCCCCTAGGGGACATGGAGAATGTATTTGAAAAAAAAAAAGTTTTGCGAGATCTCGCAAAACTTTTCATTTAGCTCAATGTACTTCCTGGTCAGTTCGGCAACACAGAAAGAACAACAATGGAGCGGTTTCATCGATTTTACTTTGAGCTTGGCCTTAAATATAAAGATATAACATCAGTGCTTGGCAATAGGCACAGGTTTCACATAAGTGAAAGACACTCAGAGTGAGGGGACATGCACGTCGCAAAGCATACTCTGAGCTGAGTTATTGACAGATTCGAATTTCGCGGATCAATAACTCATGAAAGTATTGCGATATCTCGCAAAACCTTTTTTTTCTTTTTTTTTTCAAATAATTTTTTTTCCCTTCTCCATGTCCCCTAGGGGGCTCCGTAGTATTCACATGTCACAGTGCCCAGGAAGTAAACAATGGAAAATGAGAAATCTCCAACGAGGCGTTTTGGGGCAGCATAGATTATGCTGCGTTCACACCGGACGCGATGCGACTATTCGCTTCGCTCTAATCGCTCCTATCGCATCGCTCTAAACGCTGGAGTTTCACCGCGGCTGCCAGCTGTGTTTACTCGCATCATTCAAACAAGACGCGCTGGCTCGGGAGCTACAACTACAACAAATGAACATATTTTACCGTGATTAAATTGTAATACACGTTTCTAAATGATGCCGAAGTAACAACATACTGATACCGGTTAGTAACAACCATGAATTAATGCTTTGACAAGTCTGCAGACAAGACGGCAGGCGAAAAACCTTTTAAAATGCTTGTTTTCTGAATGAAGATCGGGTCGACCAGGCTAAGCTAACGTTGTATATGCTCATTCCACACTCATAACAACGGCCTACAGACATAAATAAGCAGCGACTGTATTCACCATGACACAGACAGTCTGTGGTTTGTACTTGTTTAACTTTTGTCCAGTTTCTGAACGGATATGAGGAGCTGTGAGCTCTGTGTGCTAACTGCTAACAGCTAACGGCTGATGTTGTGTGGTTGAACGTCAGTGACGGCGGCTGAGATCCTCACCGCTGATTGGCTTCCGCGAGAACGCGTCATGTGAATTTGACGCTCGAGTTGAAAAAATTGAACTCTCGCGTTTAACGCGGCACCGTTCAATCGCCTCAATCGTGTGATTCGCGCCGCGTCCACCGCTTCATGCGCGCCGTCGGAGCGAATTCGCGTCTGTCCACGTCTCTGCATTGACTTTACATGTAATCGCGCCGCCCCCAAACGTCGCATCGCGTCCGGTGTGAACACAGCATTAGAGTTTTACTCGCTACAGGGTGTACTTCGAGGGTTTTTGACTCTGCAGACCGTTTACATGCATAACAACCTTCATAACACATGACATGACATGGGCCCTTTAATGTGATAAAAACTGAGTATTTTACATACTTCAAAATCTACAATCTCCCTTACCTTTTTTGCTATACACCAATGTATGTGGTAAATATGGGCTGCTAGGTAGAATCAGCCCGCTGTGCTGAGCAGCAACAGAGACGGATCGGCTGGGTTGATAAGGGAAAGAAGGCTGTTGCCATGTCAACAGTGTGGTTGATATGACATAATGATGGTGGTGTAGATAGTTGCAGTCTTAAGAGGCAGCTGTTGAGCTTAAGGGATGTGTCCTGGCTCTAATCCACCAATTATTTGTGCCATTCAATCTTAAACCCAGATCCAGGCTTTTTCTACCAAGATCTGGCCTTTTCTACCCAGATGTGTTCTTATTCTACCAAGATCTAGTCGTTTTCTACCAAAATCTTGATATTTTTACTAAGATTCGGTCTTATTCTTCCAAGATCTGGCATTATCGTTTACATTTTACCGACATCCATTCTAATTCCTCCAAGATGCTGTCGTCTTCTACCCAGATCTATTATTTTTCAACCAAAAAATACTGTCCTATCTTACAAGATCCTATATTTTCGAACACAACTCTTCCTCTTTCCATGTAGATACAGTCTTATTCTAACAATATGTCTTATTTTTCCAAGATCCAGTCTAATTCTACTAAGATATGACCTCTTTAACCCAAATATGGTCTTTATTTTTACCAAGATCCATTCTAATTCCTCCAAGTTACAGTTGTCTTCCACCCAGATCTAGTCTTTTTCTACCAATATACGACCGTTTTTACCCAGATACAGTGTTATTATATCCAGATTTCTCCTTATTTCTCAGGGATGCAGATGTTTTCTATCCAGATCTGGCCATATTCTACAAAGATCCAGTCTTTTTTAACCAAAATCTGTCCCTTTCTACCAAGATCCAGTCTTTATTAACCAAAATCTGACCCTTTCTACCTAGATAACATCCTTTTTCTACCAAGATACGGTGTTATCTACCAAAACCTTTGCCTTTTTTTTACCCAGATACGGTCTTGTTGTACCCAGATAGGACCGTCTTTTACCCGGATCAGGTCTAATTATACCCAGATACAATCTTTTTCTACATAAATCTTGCCTTTTCTACCCAGAAAACGTCTGTATCTATGAAGATTTGATGTCCTCTACCCATTTCCGGTCATCTTCAACCCAAAAATGATCATCTCCTACCAAGATTTTCTCTACCCGGATCCATCCATCTTCTATCTGTCAATACAATATATTTGGATCTTATCTTCTTTTACCTAGATCCGTTCTATTTCTAGTAACCTTAATAAAACATGTCTGAATTTCACGTGTGCAGGTGTGTGTATAAAAGCACTCCTCTTTCAGTAATCAGGAGAATACATGGACACAAAGACACACTTGTGTTTCAGAAGCCACTTCAAACAAGGTTCTTGAATATAGATGAGCTCTCTGGTGAACAGCAACACACACGACACACAATTTGCAATTTAAAGGATGCTTTTGTCGTTAGCCATGTGATCTTCCCTTTGATAGGTTGCTTTTGTTCTCTCCATCACCCATCCAATCCTTCATATTTGTCAGTCCTTCATGATTAATGTCTCGTGAATCTCACTAAATGGATAGAGATGGGTTGCAGATGAAACAGACGTGAACATAACTGAGGGATTGATGAGCTAACGTTGGGATATCTGGACATTTATCAGGTTTGTTGACTTCGGTTTCTCCCTCTTATGATGTGTTGTCATAATTACTTTACAGCTTGTTGCTATGCTATGTGGTTTCCATGGTGATGCCTAATATGGGATGACCTCGTACTGGATGACCTTCCTTTTCTGACTGTGGGTCCATCATTGCATTAGTGTGTGCTGCTTAGTGAGTTGAGTGTGTGTTTGGCAGTCAGCGTGAGCCTCTGTAATGTAAATGTATGTTTGGTAGCTTGCATTTTATTGCATTTATCCATGTATGTTATGAGAGTGTTTGTGTATGTTGAGTTGACGTTTTAGTTTTAATTTGTAGTTTTATGTTGGCATGTCTGTCAGTGGTGAGAATGGAAATGAATTGAGACTTGCTGTGTGCAGGATGACAGGTCCAGTGCAGGATTCACACAGGCTGTCTGTGAAAACATGGACAGAGGACGAGAGTGAGCGAGCTGACAGCACACTCAGCAGGTACACACACACACACACACACACACACACACACACACACACACACACACACACACACACACACACACACACACGTCATTTTCCAATGTAAATGTCCCCTTTGGAGAATTAAAGCTTTATGTAGGAAAGCCAAGTAAAATATTTTAATTATAATATTCTGGTGATATTTTTTAAGTCATATCTGAATTGTTTTTAATCCCGTGTTTATTACCTTAAAGCGGATCAAAGATAACAATAAGGTTTTATGTATTTTGTCAATGATAGATATTTGCTTTAACATTAACATGACAAATTGAATGCCAATAATTCATGTATTTTAGCAATGGGAAAAACTAAATGTGTAATTTGATAGTTGTTACTTCAAAACCTATTGAATACCACCAGAATGTACGGTTCCGTTAGCTCTGCAGAGCTCAACTCAATGTCTTGGTTTCATGGCCCTAAAACCTTTTGTTGGTTCAGTCTCACTTTTATCAAACCCACAGCTGCAGGAAGCTGCTTTCAGCAAATACAAATCAGATAAACAACTGTATGCTACTTGCTCCGCACCAAACAGCACACAGACAAGTTAGCCCCTAGCTAATGAACAAAGCTTAGCAGTTAGCCGCTAAGCAGCCACTTTTCTTT